GACCTCTGAAAAAGCAGCCAGTGCTCTTACACTCTGAGCCATCTCTCCAACCTCCTGACCAAGATATTTTTAACTATCTTTTTTCTTGATGTCTCCACACTTTGCTGTTTGTACTCTGATGCAGAGCATGAGAAAACATTCAGGCCACAATGGAGTAGGTAAAGGATCATAGTTTCTAGGCAATTGTGGTTTGACATGAGCCATACTCAGAATTTCTGCCTACATTTGAAGGAAGTCTTGTCGCAGGATATCAGACTTTGGCTTCTCAAATCACAATTTAAGCGTTTCTGCATCTCATAAGCTTCTCCACCGATGCTGCAATCCAAATCAGACTAAATCAAACCAAATTAGAAAAAAAAAAAACGTTTAATGAATACAATGCCCCCAGATGGCCTTCCAGCCCCCCAAAGAGGAAACAGAGAGACCAGAAAACCACACGTCTATTTTCTGGGGGCAGTATAGATACCCTGTGGGAGTGGTCTTGAGCATTTCTGGGGGAGGGATCATCATTTGGCAGGCTTTCTGCCTGCCAGCAGCAGGGTTTGGAGGGAGATGGGGGAGGTGCAACCTTCACCATAACATTCTAGACACTTTGGGTGTATGGATGCCAGGGGCTGGGGTGAAGCTTCCACCATAGCAACAACCTTACTAGCCAACCACATTGCTTTCACTCACCTTAAAGGACAGATATTTTTTGCTTTTTTTTTTTTGTTTGTTTTTTCTTTTTTCTTTTTGAGAAGGGATTCACTATATAGCTGTGGTTGGTCAGTGTTGCTACTCAACTATCCGGCCCAGCAATTCATACATCTTTTGTGCTTTTTTGCACAATTTTTTGCCCACAACATACTGTCCTTAGGGCTCCACTCCCTTCCGGGATGGGTCACCAAGTGTTGTGGGTAGGCCCTCTCAAATAGCAGCTGCTTCGTGATGTTAATGCCAGAGTGAAGAAGCCAGTGATTCTGGGTAGTGAATGTTTGGCTGTGCAAATATGTAGATAACCTCTTTCTATCTTTTCTCAAACGTATGTTCTGGTATTCAAGAAACTTGCCTGAGAGGGGTGTGGTGGTGCATACCTGTAACCACATTACTCAAGAGACTGCAGCAGAAAAGAAAACTGTATAATAGACTCTTCTATGTAGAACTATAACTTGGGGGACTTGGGGGCTTGCTCAGCTGTTAAGAAGTCTTGCTGCACTTCCAGAAGACCTGTGTTCTGTTACCTCTGTGATGCACATTCCAGGTGCCCCACAATGTCCTGTAACTCCAGCTCCATGGGATCTGAAGCCCTCTTCTGACCTCTTCAGACTCACATATACACATAAATAAACACAATTTTATTTTGTTTTCAAAGACAGTGTTTCTCTGTGTAAACAGCCCTAGCTCTACTGGAGATAACTCTGTAGACCAAGCAGGCCTAGAACTCACAGATATTCACTTGCCTGTGTCTTCTGAGTGCTGGGATTTAAGGTGAGTGTCACCGCTCCCAAGGATGGTATGTTGTGGGCTGTCGTGGTTTTATCACAGCAACAGAAAGCAGACTAGGACAACCAGTATACTTGGGTGCTTGAGTTGGCAAAAACATATCCATGTAAATCGTGATGATACCAGCAAAGGATCCAAATTATATTTTATACAAACTAATTTCGGCTATCACTTTGTTACTGGTAATGGATCCCCTCCAGTAAGGGGGAACAGCCTTTCTATAGATGTCTTGCACTGGCAAATTACAGAATGGAGATGCTCACCTATCAAGTGCCATTTTATATGAGAGACTTGATAGGACTTTGGCTTTTGATTTAGCATCTTGGGACCAATTCCAGCCCCCTTCCCCTGTAGGTACTGTGGGATGGTTGTCCTTAGGATTCTAATACTTCATGCATGCATGTCCTTAATAGTGACTAAGAGCACTTTTGCTCTTGCAAAGGACCAGATTTCAGTTCCCAACACCCACAGAGGGGGTCCATGACTGCTTTTTTCTGATCCTTGCAGACCACCAAAGTTTGAATCAACATCATGAAGTTCAAACCAATTTTGTGGCAGTAGGTTATTCCTTAAACCTGGCCAAGGTACCCAAAAGAGTTGGATAAGGGCTATGAGTTTGATGAGCCATTTTAAAGAAGATGTATACATGTTGAGATGGTTGTGATGAAGGGCATCCTGTAGTGCCCAGAATTTAGTCATGTTTTCCCCATCAGCTTTGGCATCCCCAACATGCTGATGGTGACATAGTGACTGAGACTTGCTAGCCACAACTTTGGCATTTTGTGACCATGTGTATTTGTTGTATAGCCTATAACCCTGACCTCACCTCCTGTCAATGATACACCAAACAACAGGGTTCTTGAGCTCCATAGTGTGTGTGCATGTGTGTGTATGTGTGTGTGCATATTTCTCATTAAAGTTTCAAAACCAACTGTATGAATTCATATATACATATATGTATTAAATTTAGGGGCTGGAGAAATGGCTCAGTACTTTTTAATGCTCTTGTAGAAAACTGTGTTTCATTCCCAGCACCCACATAGAAACATGCAACCATCTGTAACTCCATTTCCACGGATCATAGGCATCTTATAGGCACTTCACATATGTGATACACATGCATACATACATAATACAAAACACTCATCCCCATAAAACTTTTTGTTTGCTTTGTTTTTCAAGGCAGGTTTCTTTGTATAGCTTTGGCTGTTCTGGAACTAGCTCTGTAGACCAGGCTAGCCTTGAACTCACAGAGATCCACTTGCTTCTGCCTTCCAAGTGCTGGGATTAAAGGCCTATGCCATTACAACTATGTTTATAAAACTTCTTAAAAATTAAAAATTCAGTGGTACCTGATCTAACAAAGATGGCACATGTTTAATCCCAGCACTCTAGAGGCTGAAAGAGAAGAATTACCATGAGTGTGAGCCTAGCCTGAACTACATAGCAAATATCAGGTCAGTCAGGTCTACGTTGTGAGAACTTTACTGAAAAATACTAAAACAAAACAAAAGCTCTACCTTGTGGACACAGGAAATGGCTCCTAGTATAGACCATAAAAGCCCCTCACTTGATCTCCCAGACTAATAATAACTTCTTGAACTATGAGACCAATCACCTGTGTTTAAGCCACTCCAATAAAACAATGAATAATTGAAACTGGAACTAGTGGTCACTCAGGAAGGGGCAGATGTGACACAAAAATGCTCCTACAAGGAAGGCCTCCATTTCAAAGGTGATCTGCAGAAGCAGCTGACCCCCGTCCGGAGGCACGCGTTCCTGTATCCCTTTCCTTTCCTTCTCACTCTGTGTCTGGCTATCTGGTTGTCTGGCTGGGTGGCTGGCCCCCGAAGTCCTCCTCATCCTCTCTGGTTCCCAGATCCTTTTTTCCCTCAAATTTCTCCTATTTCTCATCTGTCAACCAGCCCCACCCATTCCTCTCTTTTGCCTCCATATTGGCCATCAGGTATTTTAGACAAAGTTAACACAGCTTTGCAAAGTTAAACAAATGCGACATAAACACCACACACCTTAAAATAAAATTCCCTTCCCCTCTGTGATCAAAGATTCTTTGCTCTCCTGCTTCTTGGTTACTTCTTTGGTTGTTGTCCAGGTCCTTCCTCATCTATTTGGACTCCAATCCCTGGAAGGGAAAGGGCTTCACCACTCCCTTGGTGACTTGACTTCACTGATTAACACCCAATTCAGCCACTAGCCCAAGCCTCTCTTCAGAATCCTGGATCAAGGGACAGATCTATTAATAGACATCTCAGACTAATCATGTCTAAAATGTGCTTTACCACTGTCTAATCTGCTTCTCCCTGTCTCTTCCCCAACCTCAGTTAAAAGTGATGCTCCTCTCCTTGCTCAGGCCAAAAAAAAAAAAAAAAAAAAAAAAAAAAAAAACGCAAGCATCACCCCTAACCCTCTCACAAACCGTTTTTAAAAAAAGATATATATGTTTGAGTCTTTGCCTCCATGAACGACTGTGTGCCTGGTGCCGTAGAGGCAGAGATAGGGCCTCAGATCTCCTGCAACTGTAGCTTTAGACAGCTATGAGCTGCCACTAGGATGCTGGCGACAGAACCTGGGTCCTCTGTGAGAGCACCTGGTTGTCAGAACTGCTGAGTCAGCTCTCCAGCTCCTCTACAGGGCATGTCTATTCATTAACTGGTTGCCTGGATGTTCCTTTAGAACATAGTCACAGTCTGACCACTCCTCAGTACAGTCTCTGCTGTGCCCTGGTCCAGGCCAACATCTCTGCTCGTGACATTTAACCTTTTCATGCCTCTTGGCTTTTCTCCTTGCTGTTCCCACCAGCTAAAGTAACAGGGATTCTGTTTTGTTTTTGGTTTTAAATTTCATCTCAGATTGTTATTCTCTGCCCAAAACCCTTTGCAGAAGAGACTGATGTCCTCACAATGACAGAGTTCCTTCCGATAAGTCTCCATTTGTTCTCTGTCCTCATCAGCCCCCACCCCCACCCCGCCCCGTGGTTTCTTCAGACTGGACAGCACAGCCCATCTCAGAGGCTTTGCATTTTCTTTAACTTCTGCCAGAAAGGTCCTTTATACTTTACCCAGTATCTGTGGACAGGACTCAGATCTTAATTCTTTACTCTCCCGTTGAAATCTCGTTTAACTAATTAGAATTACAAATTCTACACATTCCAATTCTTTCCAGATTTGTTTTCCTACAGAACAATTTTTACCATAAGGTGTACTATGTATTTTTCACTTAATCTTTGTCATGGTTTATCCAACTCTTAAGATAGGGGCCTGTGTGCTGTTTCAGCACCTAAAAGGAGTGGCTGGCACATAAAAGGGTATATGCGACCTCTGCACAGAGGACCAGAGGGGGAAAAACACTCCAGTCCAAGAAGGCTTCCTGGAGGAGTAAGCCCACGACTGACACTCCCAAGCCCCTCCCCGACAACATTAGGGAAAGCCCCGCCCACTGAGGAGGAACTGCGGCCGGAAGTAGACTTCGAGCGGAAGCCATGCTAGGACAAGTGGGCCCTCCTTCCGACCTGCCCAAGGCTCCGCCCACCCTAATGTAGGCGAAGGGTCAGCGGAGCCTGTAGTGTAGCTGGGGCAGCGGAGCAAGACCTAGGCCGCCCGGAGCTGCCAGGCAGACTGACAGAAGACTGACCATGGCAGACCAGCCGAAGCCCATCAGTCCGCTTAAGAACCTCCTGGCCGGCGGCTTTGGCGGCGTGTGCCTGGTGTTTGTGGGGCACCCCCTGGACACGGTCAAGGTGCGCGGAGTCTGGATTGGGGGCTGGGGGGGGGGGGCCGAGGCGATCCAGAACATTAGGGTCCCAGCGAGACGCTGCCTCCTGACAGTGGGGCGGGTAGATGCTTCCGTGGGAAGTTTAGGGAGGGTTGCTATGTAGTTTACAAGTAGAGCGCTGTCTGCCTAACAGGGCGAAAGGCTCTGCATTCAACGCCCCCAGCGCCTCAAAAAGAAAAAAAAATCTCGAGGACCATTCTAAGGCTGTCCCTCGCGCCCCAAGAGCCAGACAGCTCCTATTTCAAAGTCTTCGTTTGACAGTCTTTTCTGACCGAACACTATTTGGGGATGAAAAAAAAAACAAAAAACAAAAAACAAAAAAAAAACCAAACCTCTCCAGACCTGTTTCCAGTTAACCCTAATATTTTGTTATAAAGATTGAAACAGGATCCCTGTAAACCCAACCTCCCCCCAAAACAAAGGACAAAGGTGGCATAGATGTCCTTTGACACAGTCTCGTGAAGCCAGTGTGGCTCATAGCTTCTCTTGTGCAGTTTTGCTTGCCTGGAGAGGCAATTGGCCATTTTCAGCCAGTCACTCACTGTAGGGTAAGCCTCACAACCTATTGCATAGTCATCCCCATAGGAAGCAATGGCGGGTCCACTGACCAGTCAGTCTCGGGCCAGGAAACCATAGTCACAGAGGAAACTCACCAGAGCTTCATGCTGGACCTTTGTCTCCTCACCCCTCCATTCTTCCCTTGCTGCACTTAGCAGGGTCTTGCTGGAGACTTACTTAGCTCCTGAAGCCTCATTGTTGGTTTAGGTTTTTTATCCCTAGACATGGACTTGAAGGAAAATGATAGGTCTGATAGGGGTCACAGCCAGGATGAGCCTGTGGGGAGAAGACATGAGTCTTATGTATGTGTGGATGTATGTTGCTGGGCCATGGAACCCAGAGAACACGAGTCTCATAAGGGTGGTAACCTATGTTGGGGGCTTGTGAAGATACCACATCCAGAAGTTTCCTCAGAGAGAAAATAGTATGCAAGGCTTCTTCCTGTTGACAGACTTGGGCTGTCTGATGGCTTCCTGGAGAGTGAAGCTAACCAAAGACAGAGCTCATTCTGGGGGAATCTATCATATTCTACAGTGTGACACCAGATCTTGGCAGGCAGCAAAGGCTATACTAGTGTTAGTGCCTCTAAGGCAGTGGTTCATTCAGGTAGCTCTGCTTATATGGCCTTTATTCCCAATCTTACTCTACAGAGGCAGACATCTTGTTCTGCACACCTGAGACTTAAAAACAAAAAACCAGTATCTTTACTGTCTCCTTATATAAACATGGCTCCGAACTTGTATCCTCTTGTTCTTCATGTTCCTCCCAGCAAAGTCCCAGTGACCTCTGTCCTAAATTATAAATGATTGAAAAAACGCTCACTGGCATGTTGACACCAGAAGACTTTTCCTTTTAGTGTGAACCAAAACCACAGATTGCTGCCTGCTGCTGTCCTTTTGACCTCAGAGTGTGAGGTGGTCACCAACCAAACACTGATGCTTTTGTGATTTGGTTTTTGTTTTTGAGATAGGGTCTCATGTATCCTATGCTGACCTCAAACAGAAGATGACCTTGAACTTCTGATCCTTCTTCCTGGGCTCAAGTACTTGAAGGATCTTTCAGAGTTTCAAGGCAACTGAGTCATGGCCCGCATGTGCTGTTAACTGAGAATTGGAATACTTCAGAACTGGGGCTTGGAAAATTTTTATGAGACATTAGGGTTGAACAGGCATTGAAAAATTGGATGACTTTTGCTAGACATGGCAGCCAGAGCCTTTGATCCAGAACACTCTGGAAGCAGAGACAGGCAGATCTCTGTGAGTTCCAGGAGGCCAGCCTGATCCATAGAGCACATTCCAGAACAGCCAGGGCTGTTACACAGAGAAACCCTGTCTCAAAAAAACTAAAAACCAAAATAAATAAATAAATAAATATGAAAACCAAACAAAAGAAAAGAAAAGCTGGCTGATTTCTGAGTGGAAGGCTAGGAAGAGCTATGTAATCTGGTATGGAGAGGTAGGTGTCTTAGGTCTTGGAACACTGGAGACTAGCAGTTAGTCAAAGACAAAGATTTATTGCATATAGTTCTGGAGGCCCGGAGTGCCAGGATCCATAGGTCTATAACTGTCCAACGCTGTTTGTGCTGTGTCATCCCATGGTGGAATGGAAGGGTAAGAGGTCAATCTCAAGTCTTTTTTCAGCTGGCACTAATCCATTCATGAACAATGCCTTCCATCAGGTCTCACTTCCCAACACTGTCACTGCAGTTTGGGGTTAAGTTGCAACACATAGTTTGGGCCAGGAGTGAAGGCAAGGCAAGTATGAGCTTGGAAATGGGGTTAGAATGTGACATCAGCTGCAGCAGCCTTCAGGTCCTCACGGGTTTAGATGGCCGATGTCTACCCAGTTCTTTTTTTGTTTTGTTTTTGTTTTTTGAGACAGGGTTTCTCTGTGTGGCTTTGGAGGCTGTCCTGGAACTCACTTGGTAAGAATAGTCTGGCCTGGAACTCACAGAGATCCACCTGCCTCTGTCTCTCGAGTGCTGGGATTAAAGGCGTTTGCCTTGGCTGCCACTACCACCTGGCTGAGATGACTGATGCCATGATGAGATAAATAGAAGGGACATTAAAAAAAAAAAAAAACAAACCCTCACCAGGTGGTGGTGACACACACCTTTCATCCCAGCACCGGAGTGGCAGAGGCAGGCAGATCTCTGTGAGTTTGAGGCCAGCCTGGTCTACAAGAGCTAGTTCCAGGACAGCCTCCAAAGCCACGGAGAAACCCTGTCTCAAAACCACCCCCATCTCCCTCACCCCAGCCCAAAAAAAAAAAAAAAAATCACTGGGATGGGGTTGTAGCTCAGTTGATAGAGTACTTGTCTAGCATTCATGAAACCCTCATTTTGATATCCAGCACCAAGTAAAACCTAAGCAGGGTGCCTCTTAATGCCAGCACTTAGGAAATAGAAGCCCAGGGCTAAGAAGGTCAAGGGCACCTTGTGCTACAAATTGAATTTGAGGCCAGCTTGGGATACATGAAACTGGACCTCAGAAAAACAAGTAAATAAAATAAAAACACACAGGTCTACATTGTGATGAGGCAAGCTGGGGTTACATAGTGAGACCTTGTTTCAAAAAAAAAAAAAAACAAAAATCCTGAAAAAATAATCATAGCACTTGGGAACTTGTGGCCTTGAACTCAGAGATCTACCTGCCTCTGCCTCCTGAGTGCTGGGATTAAAGGCACAAACCACCATGTTTTTAATGTTTGTTAGATAAGTTCTCACAGGGCAGCCTAGCCTTGCCCCAGTTTCATTACGTATTCCTGGGTAGCCCTGAACTTATGATGATGTCCTACCACACAGCCACTTCAAGTGCTTGCATTAATAAGTGTTAACCAACAAACCCAGTGCCCACTTTGATTGGTATATTTTTTTGTGATTTTTGTTGTTTTGAAATCGTCTTATGAAGGCCAGGCTAGCGCAAACTTAGTATGTAGCTAAAGACATGAATTTGTACTCCTAATCCCTCCTGCCACAAAGATAAATAAATAAATAGAATGAGTATTAATGAAATAGTGAATCTGAATCTACTTATCACATTAAGGAAATGCTGGAGACGTTCACAAAGGCGTACATTTCCCTGTTTAAATGAAGTAGAAGGGCTGAGGATATAGCTCAGTGGAAAAACTGCTTATACATGGTTCTAGGTTCAATCTCCAGCACTGTAAGTAAGGAGGAGGAGAAAAAGAGAGAAAAAGAGGAAATGGGATCATTGCTGGTAATTCTGGAAGGTAATTATTTTAATTTCTCGTTTCAGGTCCGCCTACAGACACAACCACCAAGTTTGCCTGGACAGCCACCAATGTACTCTGGGACCATCGACTGTTTCCGGAAGACTCTTATTAGAGAGGTGTGCTTTGGGTGCTGGGCGTCCCTTTCTCAGGGAATAAGACAGCTGTGTGGTTCTGCTAGCCACAGCTGTAGCTCCCTAGCTATATCCTCCTCATCTGCTCTGGAACTTGATAATTCCAGCTACCATTTATACAGATGAATCTCCACACTCCTAGACAGGAACATTTAATTGTGTTAGGGTTATTTGGCTATATAATTTTTACTAGAATGTGATTCTTCCCTCCTTTGGTTTTTTAAAACAAGGGTTCTCTGTAGCTTTGGAGCCTGTCCTGGAAATCCCTTTGTAGACCAGGTTGGCATAAAACTCACTGCCTACCTCTGGGATTAAAGGGGTGTACCACTACGATCTGGCAATAGAATGTGATTTTTAGAATATTATTTATCTGTATGGACGTCCATGTGTGTTCTGGGACCTTTGGAGGTCAGAAAATGGAATGGGATTTTGTGGAACTGGAGTTATGAATGGTTGTGAGCCACCTTGTGGGTGCTGGGAGTTAAAACCAGTTCCTCAGCAAGAGCAGCAAGTGCTCTAGAGCATTGAACCATCTCAGCTACCGTTCTTATTTTGATGTTTGAGATGGTGTCTCATACTGCATCCCATTAATCCTTCTACCTCACTCTCCTAAGTGCTAAGATTACAATTGCACTAAAATACAACTTGAATATGATTATGTACCAAGTAGACCTTATTAAACACAGAGAAACTGAAGAGTAGGTGTCACCTAGAAATATAAAGGTGCCTGGAAGGGATGGGCTCATCATTGGTGTAGATGTGTCCAGGATTCCTGCAGGACTCAGTGTAGGAGGAAGGCGTTGAGGCAGGGCACGCTCAGCTATCTCCGGCTGGGCCTATGTTTCTTCTTTAGGGCCTTCTTCCTTATCTAGTCGATACTCAGGATGGAGGTTGATCAGTGCCTTGGGGAGGCTCTAAACTCCAGTTCTACCCATAGTTCTCTGCCCTTATGGAAGAGAGCCAAGTCTACATGTTTCTTGATCAACTATTTTCTTGGGCTGTATTGTGGGTGTGGGTGTAAATCCAACTCCTGAGTCAAATCCAAGTAGTATATATTTACAGTCCTGACACACGGAGGCTGAGACAGGAGGATCACCAGAATTCAGCTTGGAAAATAGAGCAAGAAAATAAAAACCAGAAAGAAAACAATAAAGACCTAACTCTTTGCAGAGTTTAGTAGCTGTCATTAGTCCATATTTGTCCACCTTCCTCTTTTTCAATGTAGCAGACTTAGCTCTGTTTTCTGGAGCTGCCAGACATGAGTTGTATTTCATGAAGCTGGCAGACCACTGGAATTGAAGGGAAATTAGGTGGGTTGTCCGGAGGCATGTGTGGTCCTAGGAGCTGGGCATCCTTTTCATCCCAGTGCAGAGCTGTGGGAGAAACTTTGATGGGACTTTGTCACAGTCTGCTCTTGTACCTACCTCCCTCCTAAATCTGTGTTCTACCCCTGTTATTGCCTCTGTGTTTTACCCATGGTGCATGCACCTGCAGCCCACAGCAGCGCCAGGCTTTTGTGGGATCAGTTGGAGGTCTTTTTTTTTTTTTTTTTTTTTTTTTTTTAAAGACAGTTCCTCTGTGTAGCCTTGACTGTCCTGGAACTCGCTCTGTAGACCAGGCTGGCCTCTAACTCACAGAGACCCACCTGTGTCTACTTCCCAAGTGCTGAGAGTAAAGGCGTGTACCGCCACCACCTGGCTGCATTTCCCTTTTGTTTTGCTTTGAGGTACCAGGGATTAAATCTAAGTCTTGTGCATGCTAAAAACTCTGGGCTACATGTTCATCCACCAATTTACCATTTTAGTGATTATGACTGTTTTGCCCTTTCTTTCTTTTGGGTTTTTTTTTTCCTCCTTTTTTTTTTTTTTCTTTTTGGGGGAGATTTAGTCTTATTTTGAGAGGGATTTAGTCTTTTGAGAGGGATTTATTCTTATTTTGAAGCCCAGGACGATTTCAAACTCTCAGTCACCCTGCCTGTGTCTTGAGAGCTGGTGTCACACTTAGGTTTTTCTTAAGATGTGTTATTCTGTGTGTATGAGTGTTTTGCCTGCCTGTATGTATGTGCACCACATGCTTGCCTGGTGCAACAGAGGTCAAAAAAGGCTCTTAACAGAAAGAACCATCTTTGCAAGCTTCCTCTACTCCGCTCCATTCCCAAGTCCTTTTAATAATATTTTTTATTGGTCAGGTGTGGTAGCACAGGACTTTAATGTCAGTATTATGGGAAGTAAGGCATAATCTCTTTGAATTCAAGGCTACCTTCATCTACATAAGGAGTTTCAGACCAGCCAGGGGTACAGTATGACCCTTTCAAAACAAACAAAACAAAACTTGAGACAAATTTCACTAAATTTCCCAGGCTGATCTTAAAAGTCATACTGTATCTCTGGTACATCTTTAGTCCCAGCACTCAGGCAGAGGCGGGTAGTTCTCTAGTGAGTTCAAGGCCAGCCTGGGTTATATAGCAAGGTCCAGGACTATCTAGAGAGACCCTGTCTCAAAAAAGAAAAAAAAAAGTGATTGATGGCTGGGGACTGACAGCTGAAGATGACTTCTGACCTATACATGCAATCGGCACACATATACACCTAGGCATGCATATGTAAACACACACAAATGTGGGGGGGGGGGTGGATGTCTCTGTGCATGAAAAGGTGAAGAAGAAAATCAGAGGTTAGAGGCTACATGGGTTCCCTGTTTTGGAAGTGTAATGGGTTGGGGGTACAGCTCAGGTGAGCTCTTGCTCCTAGCCCTCGGTTCGATTCCCAGCACTGAAACACAGAGTGGGAGTAGCTCTGTTTCTGTCTCCTTGCAGGGTATCACAGGGCTGTATCGGGGCATGGCTGCACCCATCATTGGAGTCACCCCTATGTTTGCTGTGTGCTTCTTTGGGTTTGGTTTGGGGAAGAAACTACAGCAGAAATCTCCAGAGGATATACTGAAGTAAGTATTCTCAGGTGGCACTTGGGGCTCTTCTTGGTGATGTGAGATGTGTTAAGGGAAAGTCTTGACAATTAGGCTGTCCCCTGGGTCCCAGGGCTGACTTGTAGGCATTCTGGGTGAAGGAAGTTTCCTTCATTCTGTGAAATGAAGGGGTATAAGAAAAGCGCCTTCCTTCCTGCCCCTTGTCATTGATTTCTTATCCACGCTAAGTCCCTACTGCACACTGCTGTTGGAAGTGAATGCTAAAATGCATGTCAAGAGCTGTGGGTGGTGCCTAGTGCTACATTAAGGACAGAAGTAGACTTCTGTTACATGGTTAAGAGAAGGTTGCAGGGGCTGGAGGGATGGCTGGAGTGATTAAGCCCACTTGTTGCCTTTGTAGACAATGTGGGTTCAGTTCCAAGTGCACACACGGTGGCTCACAACTGTCTAACTTCTGTTCCAGGGGATCAGATGCTTTTTGACTTTCTCAGGCACCAGGCATGTTCATGCTGCATATTCATACTGGCTGGCAAAACATTCATGCACATAAAATAAATTTTAAAACGGACTCCCTGTGCAGCCAAGGATGACCTTGAACTTGTGATCCTCTTTTGCCTCTACCCACTGTTTTGCCAGGTTACAGTTGTATAACACCACCCCTGGTTTTATGCAGTGCAGGGGATGGAATCCAGGGCTTTGAACATGCAAACATTCTCCCAACTGAGATATATCCCAGCCTTTGTATTTTCTTTAAATTTAAAAGAAATTTTGTTTTGTTATTTTAACGTGTATGGGTATTTTGCCTGCATGTATGTCTTTGTACCACATGGTTGCAGTGCCTGAGAAGGCCAGGAGTGGTGTTATATTTCCTGGTATTGACATTTCAGAATGTTATGAACCTGCCTTGTGGGTACTGGGTGTCGAACCTGTGTCCTCTGGAAAGGTAGCCAGTGTTCTTAACTACTGAGCCATCTCTCCAGCTCTGCAATGTCTTTTAGTAAGTTTTTAGAGTTAGTTTGGGTATAAAGAGACAATTGAGCTGGGTGGTGGTGGTGGTGGTGGTGGTGGTGGTGGTGGTGGTGGTGGTGGTGGTGGTGGTGCTGGTGCTGCACACCTTTAATCCCAGCACTCAAGAGCCAGAAGCAGGAGGATCTCTGTGAGTTCCAAGCCAGCCTGTTCTACAGAGTGAGTTTCAAGACAGCCAAGGCTACACAGAGAACCTCTGTCTTGGGGGTGGGGTGGGGTGGGGACAATTGAGTACCTCAACATTTAAAAACAATGTGCAAGTTTCTCTGCGGGGGGAGTTTTGAGTGAAACTCTTGATTTGACAAGTGTCCTTGAGCCATACAGGAAACAACCCTGGAAAGTCTGCAGGAAACATAAGAACCACCAAGGCTGGCAAGGTCAGGGTGCCTTGTGATTGTAGTCTGTCAACCTATAAGAGAGTGAGGATCTAAGATGCATGTGAGGTGTTTGTAATGTGAGATTCTGTTCCTAGAATCCTGGTGTTCTGAATGAGTGTAGCTTCTGTAGAGAATGAAAGGGCCCCAGATGTGTGCCAGCTCACAGCTGTACCATGCTAATGGGCTGTGTTCCCATGTAGTAACATCAGCATGAGAGAAGCAGTCTTCTTCCAGAAGCAGAATGAGACAGTCAGGACCCCATCCCACCAGTCAGCCTTACAGTGCTTTCCTCCCTACAGGCATTTAGCAAGGAGAGGAGTTTCACCAGAGTTCTGGAATGGGAGCCCAGGAAGACCCAGCGCTCACAGACCCCTCCTGGAATGGTGGTGGGGAGTAGCAGAATAGGACAGGTGTTCATAGTGTCCACACGGTGTCCTATGTGCACACAAGATCCTATTTTGGGAACAGCCCCTAAGGTTGGGCATCTTGGGAAGAGTGGAGGTTGATGGTGTTGTAGGAGCAATTTAGTTACTGAGATGTAAAAGAGCAGTGTAACATGGGACTGTGAAGCTGGGCATATGTGTAAGAAGTCTCTTGTGCCACCTGGGTCAGACTTACAGGCAGAGAGCAGGCCTTTGTTTCTGGAAAACACTGACTGCCAAACAAACAGTGCTTACAGCTCCTTGAATAGGCTTGCACTTTAAAAAATGACAGACTGGACCTCACACATCCTGGACAGGCACTTACTGCTCAACTATATTACAAATACAGCTTTTATTTTATTTTATTTTCTTGTTTGTTTTTCAAGACAGAGTTTCTCTGTGTAGTTCTGGCTGACTTGGAACTTGCTCTGTAGAGCAGGCTGGCCTCAAACTCTTTTTTTACTTTTTTGAGTCAGGGTCTCAACATATGCAGTCTTGGCTGGCCTGGAACTCACTATGTAGACCAGGATAGCCTCACACTCATAGAGATCCACCAGTCCTTGAATCTGTAAGATCTTCCTGTCTCACTTTCCCAAGTAGCTAGGGCTATAGCCTCCACCACTCAGCCCCAAAAATGTATACATTGATACAAACGGTGCAGCCACTTTGGAAGACTAGTCACATCACCAGCACATTTAAAAATACTTTATGTCAGGGCTGGAGAGATGGCTCAGAGGTTAAGAGCACTGGCTGCTCTTCCAGAGGTCCTGAGTTCAATTCCCAGCAACCACATGGTGGCTCCCAACCATGTATAATTTGATCTGGTGCCTTCTTCTGGCCTGTAGACAGAACACTGTATACATAATAAATAAACTGTAGAAATACCCTGTACTAGGCATGGTGGCACATGCCTGTACTTCGAACCCTTGGGAAGTGGAGGGACAAGTTACCCTCAGCTATACAGTAAGGTCAAGGGTAGCATGGGCTATATGAGATCCTGTCTCAAAAAACAAAGCAAACACCCTGTAAGCTGGCCCTGTGGCCCCTGTTAAGAGGCCAGGGTCACCCTGTGCAGTAGAAGACCTCGTTTGAAATGAAAAGAAACAGAAAACAAAGGCTTTTGACTGTCCGGCTGTCAGCCTGCGTGCTTGGCTCGTGTGTCTGAAGTAATGTGGCAGAGAACTGGGTTGTCAAAACTTGCTCTTCCTACAGGGAAGCGGCCACGACAAGATGTTACTGCTTAGCACCTGTTTCTCTTGTCTTGGACTCCTTTGGGGTGATTCTGGCCTGAAGGCTCACTTGTCAGAGCTTTGGACTAATGAGTAAATTGTGGGGCAGAGGGAGGAGGGAAAGTGGGGGACAAGTTGGGACGGGACATGACTCTGTTGAAATGCTGAATGTGACTCTGTGTCCGGGTGTCTGGCCATACTGGTATTACTAATCCCAGAAAGATAAGACCTTGCTAGAGGTGTCACAGACAGCTTTAGTGCTAGATACTAAGAGTTTCAGGCTCCTTCTCATTCTGTGGGGTTAGAGTGAGGACCCACCATTCCTGGATTAGCTTAGCATTTCTCAGCACTTACATTAATTACCGTCCTCATTACTGGCTTTGTATGAAGGTGAGGTGTGTTTTGTTTTATTCTGTTTTTTTTAGATACAGGGTTTCTCTCTGTAGCCCTAGCTGTCCTGGATCTCACTCTGTAAACAGGCTGACCCCGAAGTCACAGAGATCAGTCTGCCCCTGCCTCCCAATTTGCTGGGATTAAAGGCTAAAGGTGTGGGCCACCACCACCTGTCTGAAGTTTAGTTTAAAATGTCGATTTGCCACAACTTAGAGTCACCTGTGAAGAGAGTAGTTAATTACCTTTATCAGGTTGGTTTGTGGACGTCTTTGTTATTAATGTAGGAAGATTTAGCCCATTGTGAGTGGCATCATTCCCTAAGCACTGGCTCTGAACTATATGAGACGGAAAACTAGAGAAGCAGAAAGCGGGCAGCATGGGAGTATTTGTGCCTCTCTGCTGTTGACTGTAACTGATATAACTAGCTGCTTGACTTCCTGCCTTACTTCCCCTAAATGATGGTTGGAATTGTAAGACAAACCCCATCTTTCCTTTGGTCGGAGTATTTTACCACAGCAACAGAAATGAAACTGGAACACTTGGCTAGCCCTTAGCCTGTGAGATGGCCGCAGCCATTTTCCTTGACCTTGAACCTTTTCTGCTTGAGCCTTGGCTTAGTGTTCTAGGCCCTTGGTGGCCCAGGGTATGTGATATTGGAGGGGAACTGGGTCCACCGAGGTTTAGATCTCAGGACAGAGTGTCCTTTATCCCAGGAAATCAAGGCTCGCAAAGACCTGGTAAATTGTCCAGAGAGTTACTGAACACAACAGGCTCATGGGTAGAAACCATATCTCTCTATAAAGCTTTTCTCATGTTAGGGGATTCCAAGTATGCCCCTCCTATGTGTGGGCTTCAAGAGTCTCCTGTTCTTGACATTGGGACCCTTGCTCTGTTAACTTGACATCAGAATTTACCCAGAATTGAGTCTGTGTAAAATCTGATTGACTTGCAACAATGCTTCTCCAGTGCAAGTACTTATTTTTCCTGACAAAACCATCCTCTCTGCTTGGATCACCCCAGTCCTTGGTGGATAACACAGATGGTTGCTTCTGTTCTTGTTCTCAATGCAGCTACCCACAGCTGTTTGCAGCTGGGATGTTATCTGGTGTGTTCACCACAGGAATCATGACCCCTGGAGAACGGATCAAATGTTTACTGCAGGTAAGGTTCTGGTCTGTGAAAAGGACGCAAGCACACAGTTCTGCATTTGTGTTAGTATTTTTGTGGGTTTGTTGTTTGAGTCACAGCCTTGCTGTGAGGCCCAGGCTGGCCTCAAACTCATGATCCTCCTGCCTTGGTCTCCCTGTACTTGGCTTAGCGGCAAGTGCTGGGGTCATGGGCATGTTGTGTGCCATGCCTAGATTTATATTTATGTCCGTCCTTTCCCCCCTCTATGAAATCTTTAGGCCAGCTGGGCAAAACAAACATGGAAGAATCATGAACTAGATACCAGCTGTTGTGGTACCTTCTAAGAGGCAGATGCTGAAGAGGAGGCAGGAAGAGTTTAAGTCCATGTGTTGTGGCACAGAACTATAATCCCAGCACTCAGGAATCTGAGGCAGGAGGCTTGCCACAGGTTCATTGTTATCTTGGGCTATAGAGAGAGTTATAGGCCAGCCTGGGCTACAAAAGGATACCCTGTGTCAGAGTACTGAAAACAGAAATGAAAAGCAAGAACAAAAACAAAAACCCAAACAAACAACAACTAAGGATTTAACTACCATACAACCCAGCAACTGTATAGTCCTGGGCTTTTATCTCAGAGAAATAAACACTTAAATCTCTGTGTGTAAATGTATGTAATATCTTTACAATAAACCTGAACTAGGAAGAGCACAGGTGTCCTCAAATTGGCTGTATATCTGAACATTTTGCAGGCATGAGTCCTGAAATTCAGATGTTCTTGAAATTAAAAAAATTATTGAATGAGTCATGTATGGTGGGAAGAAGAGGCAGGCAGATCTCTGAGTTCAAGGTCAGCCTGGTCTACATAGAGTTCCAGGACAGACAAGGCTACATAGAGACCCTGTCTCAAAACAAAAACCCCACAGAAACAAAATTATAGAATGCCATTTACTGGGTCTTTGGGCAGTAAATGGAGACACAGAGCAAGCATCTTGGGCAGGAGCAGCCTCCCTTCTGCCCTGATAAGAGACGATATGGTTTAGTGGCAGAGTGTCTGCTTATATGTGCAAGGTTCAAGGTTCAGTCCCTCAGGAACGACTTTGCTGAGATATGAGTAGCCTTTTAGTTTAGTTTTGTTATTGTTGTTTTGTTTTGTGGGGTTTTTGTTTTGTTTTGTTTTTGTTTTTTCGAGACAGGGTTTCTCTGTGTAGCTTTGGAGCCTGTCCTGGAACTAGCTCTGTAGACCAGGATGACCTAGAACTCAAAGAGATCCACCTGCCTCTGCCACCCCAGTGCTGGGATTAAAGGAGTACGCCATCACCACCTGGGGCCCTTTCAACTTCTGAAGTGCTGTTGACAAGGGCAGGTAGGTCTGCGCGGGTGCATCATGTGACATTTTATTCACTTACTGCATTGCTTTAGTTATATTTGTTGTTTTGTTTTGGGTTTTTATTGAGTTTTGTTTGTTTGTTTTTGAAACAGAGTCCCTTGTAGCCCAAGCTAGCCTCCTATTTACTATGTGGAGAATAGTGGTCTTGAACTCCTGGTCCTCCTGCCCCTTCCTCTCTGCTGTTGGGATTACAGGCATGTACCATCATGCTTGGTTTAAAAAGAAAAGAGTTTTTTTTTTTTTTTTTTAATAAATCTTAAACGTTAATGTATTGTTATTGGGATGGGGCAGATGCCGCCGTGTATGTGTGACTGTGGGAGACAACTTGGTGGGGTCAGCTCCTTTCTCCCACCTTCATGAGGGCCCTGCAGACCCACTGTCCGGCTGTGCCCTGCCGACCCCGAGCCAGCTCGCTGCCCACTGTCTTTTTCTGAGGCAGTGCCTCTCCTCTTTGCTGCTGTTGAGTGCGGTATCTATTAAGTCTTTTGTTTCAGTTTTATTTTTCAGTTTGAAATGTTGTTTGAGTCTTCTGTGTATATTCTAATTTCTCTGCTAAAACTGTTCATTGCTGTGGCCATTTTCATGTTTTAAGCATACTCATAGTTTTTCAATAAAGGAGTTTTTTAAATCATGGCTGCTTTAAACATCTTTGTCTGACAGTACTAACACCCCTGGTATCTTGTTGGCATATACTGTCTTTTATAAATAAGCAGGTGGGTACATGAGCTTGTGGAGGCCAGGGCTTAGCCCCAGGTGTTGTCCCTAGGGGTCCACCCATCTTGTCTCAAAAGACAAGATGTCTTACTAGCCTGAGCCTCAGTGATTAAGCTGGCTAGCCAGGGAGCCCCAAACCTGCTGGGTCAATATGAACCTTGCTGTTTTGACTTGCTGACCTTCCATCCCTCCCAGATTCAGGCATCTTCAGGGGAAACCAAGTACAGTGGTACCTTGGACTGTGCGAAGAAGCTCTATCAGGAGTTTGGGATCCGTGGCTTCTACAAAGGGACTGTGCTCACCCTCATGCGAGGTAAACTCTGAAGTACTGCACTCTAGGTCACCTGGGAAGGTCAGCTGATGAGAATCTGTCACAGAGAAGCTGGACTTAAGATCAATGCTGACACCTGTGTGCCTTGCTCATTGGCAGTCTCACCCAGCGTGGAGATGGAGAAGTGTGGAGAGAGGTTTATCCTTCCTCAGTTTCTTCAGGGGCGGAGTCATGACGTGGGAAATCATGGCTAAAGGGATGTGGGGGTGGGGAGGGAGACTTAGGAGTAGTGGGAACCTTCAGGGCTTGTGGATTTGGGCAGTGCTCTACCATTGAGCTACACGCCCAGACCTCCTCTTGGTTTTAACAGGCAGGATTCCTGAGGCAGAGACAGTCTTATCCTGAGATGGCAGCTTCAAAGAAGGCCAGACAATTAGCTGTGATTGTAACCAGTAGAGTTGGTGCATCCTGGTGACCACCTGCAGGGTACTTGGAAGATGAATTACATCGTGTTTGCTTGCTCTCAGCAGCATCTGATAGCTGCAGGGTGATTATAAAAATAGGATGTCACTGTCTCCACTCAGGAGACAGAGGCAGACAGACTTCTGAGTTCTTGGCCAGTCTGGTCTATAGAGTGAGATCCAGGACAGCCAGGGTTACACAGAGAAATTCTGTCTCAAAAAAAAAAAAAAAAAAACCAAAGCCAAACAAACAAGAGATGTAGGGGATGGAGAGATGAATCAATGGTTAAGAGCACTGGTTATTTTTCTAGAGTACCCAGGTTCAGTTTCCAGCACCCACATCACAGCTCACAACTGTCTGTAACTCCAGTTCTAGAGAATCTGATGTCTTCTTCTGGCCTCTATGGGCATTGCACACATATAGTACACAGACTTACACAAGCAGGCAAAATTATCCTTTCCATAAAAAATATTTTTGGTTGTGAATCTAGCCTTTAACTGCTGAACCATATGTCTAGCCCATAAAATAAAAAATAAAGCTTAAAAAATTAAAAATAGGGCACATGGCCACCTCCCTCCCTCTCTTACATCCCTTAATTGTGCCAGCCCCTAGCTGCTGGGCTCTCCTCTTCCTCCTGCTCCTCTTCCTCCTCCTCCTGCTTTTTGTTTTTAGTTTTTCAAGACATGTTTTCTGTGTGTAGCTAACCCTGGCACACGATCTGTAAACCAGGCTGGCTACCAACTCAGAGACCCCCTTGCCTCCAAAGTCCAGACGTTAAAGGTGTGTCCCTCCAAAAAAAAAAAGTAAAAATAAAAAAGGATGAGAGGGCGGTGGTGGAGCACACCTCTAATCACAGAGACAGGCAGATTGCTGAGTTCAAGGTCAGCCTGGTCTACAAAAAGTTCCAGGACAGCCAGGGCTACACAGAGAAACCCTGTCTCTAAACAAACGAAAAAAGAATGTAGCTGCTGAAGAACTTCTTAGGATCTTCCCCAGAGAATAGCACACTAATTAGTGAGCCCTGAAGATGTATGCATACAAGTAACATTATACAGACCAAGCAGGCTGGATTTCTGTATTTATCCTATGTGTGTGTATGTATATGTGTACATGCATATATATTATATATTTAACATAAATATATATTATGTATAATATATATTATACTATGTATATAGATCTATATAAACATAGAAACAAAGAAAAAGAGGTCATAAATTTGAAAGAGAGCATGGGGTTGGCACATGGGGTTAGAGAGAGGAAAGAGAAGGGAAAGCAATGTAAGTATAATCTCAAAAAAATAAAAAATTACCTAGGCCATGGTGACACATGCCTTTAATCCCAGCACTTGGGAAGCAGAGGTAGGGGATTTCTTTGAGTTCGAGACCAGCCTGGTCTACAGATCTAGTTCTAGGACAGTCATGGCTACATAGAGAAACTCCGTCTTAAAAAAACAAAATAAAAAATTTGTTTTTAAAAAGAACTCAGGAATCTCTGAATACTCTAGTGCCAATCTGTGGACATTTTATTGATTTGTTTTTAATTCACCTCTTTCTTGCCACTAACAGATGTTCCAGCCAGTGGGATGTATTTCATGACATATGAATGGCTTAAAAATCTCTTCACTCCAGAGGGAAAGAGGTGAAAAGAACATTAGAATGTAGAAGCCATTTCCCTCTTCTGGGTAGGTTGTCCCTTCCCACAGGTGGGTCTGAAGCAGACAACGATAATTGTTCTTGGCTCCTTGTAGTTGTTCCTTTAGTAGCTAGCTGCTGGGGTGCAGTTAACATCTTTTACTCTGTGCCTTACTCAGTGCAGTATTTTAAATAATGCATGGAACCTCCTCCAACAGATTGGCAGCTTCCAGGTCATGGGCCCTGACCCCCCCACTCCCCCAGGCTGAAGCCCTTCCAGTAACTCCTTCCCTGAGTATGATAGAGGGACTGGTCTGAACTGCACTGCCAAGACTGTGTCTGACTGGGACTGTGATGCTCTGCAGTGTTAGTGACCTCAGTGTACCTCGGATCCTGGTGGCTGGAGGCTTTGCTGGCATCTTCAACTGGGCTGTGGCAATTCCCCCAGATGTGCTCAAATCTCGATTCCAGACTGGTGAGTGGTGTAGATTTGGAGTGGGCCCTAGCATAGTGGACCCTGGGGTGCAGGGGTTTTGTTTTTGTTGTTTGTGAAGGGGTCTCATGTAGCCCAGGCTGGCCTCTGATTTACTATATAACCAAGGCTGATCTTGAAATCTTGCTCTTCCTGCATCTACCTCCCAAGTGCTGGGAATATAAACAGGGGTGCACCGCCATACCTGGTAAGTGCTCAGGTCTTAAAACTGAGGATATAGTCTCTCTTTTCTGTGGCAGAATATAATATCTGACCAACCTTCTCCTTCATATTTATATTCTAGGAAGGATTTCTTTCATGTCAGTCTAAACACAGGAGTCTATTCCCCCACACCCCATATGTCCCCCCCCAACTTGACCTGAGGCTGTTTAATTCAATTTTTAACTCCTTTGGCACCAGTAATCCAGACATTTGTGTCTGCCCTGGTGTCAGCTGAGTTGTGGACTACTTCTAGATGGCCTTCAAGGTGTCCTTGCCCTGGTGCTAGCTCTGACCCAACATTTAGTTATTAGATTGCCTCCATGTGAGTTGCCATGGTCAGGTCACAAAGCTTCCTGGAGCTTAGAAAATTGGGTTCTGCCCTACAGCCCCTCCTGGAAAATATCCCAATGGTTTCAGAGACGTGCTGAGAGAGCTGATCCGGGATGAAGGAGTCGCATCCTTGTACAAAGGATTCAACGCAGTAATGATAAGAGCCTTCCCAGCCAATGCAGTAAGTATCTGACAAGGGCTATGGCTTTTCCTTCTGCACTCAGTGCAAGGAACTGGCTTTTGCTTGCTCTTGGGATTGCCAGAGCTTCCTCGTGAATTTCTTGATCTCGTTATCAGAAGTGGCGGTTGTAGGACATGTATTTTCTTTTTCCTCTCTGTGTTCTCTCCCCATCCTTCTCTTCTATTGCCCCATTGTTTTTAAAAACAAGGTCTCTATGTGTAGCCCAGGCTGCCTCCAAACTCCCAGGAAAAGTGCTAGGATTGTCACCACACCCAGTCTCGGCCATGCACATTTTTAATATTCTTATTTTATGTGCATTTTTTTTGCCGTCAATAAGAAATTTACTTATTTTAAAAAAAATCCAAATGCTGGCATTGTCCAGAAAATTTTAACAGGTTTATTTATAATTGTTATAAGGTTGAACTGTTGAAAGTGTTCACTGAAACATTTTGCTTGCATTAATGCTTTACATCTTGCATTTATATTGAAAATTCACACACAAATGAAAATGGAAAAACTGCCAATACCTGATTTCTGTCCCCTATTTTTCCACTCGCAATTATATACTTAGGTACCTTTTGACCCCATGGAAAAAATATCTAATATTCAGAACTACTGATCACAGGAAGAAGAGGAGAAACAGTTTTGAGAATGAAATGCTTCCCCTCATAGTGGACTCATAAGCACGTTCCCCGCGTATGCGGCGTGCTAGCTGAATATCTTTTGCATAATTGTTACATTTGGCGTGGATAGCACACAGGTTGGTATCTTCAAAAAGGCCAACCAGATAGGTTCCACATGCCTCCTGCAAAGCACCAATAGCTGCACTCTGGAAGCGCAGATCTGTTTTGAAGTCCTGAGCAATTTCTCGCACCACACTCTGGAAGGGGAGCTTCCAGAAGTTCAGTGGATTTCTGATAGCGGCTGATTTCACAGAGTGCCACAGTACTATGCCTGAACGATGCGGTTTCTTCAACCCTCCAGTAGAGGGCGCACTCTTGCGAGCGGCTTTTGTAGCCAGTTGTTTCCTGGGTGCTTTACCACCAGTGGGTTTATGGGCAGTCTGCTTTGTACGTGCCATGGTATAAACACCTCCATACTTACCCTCCTTCTCCTTTGGCTGGAGCTCGGCGCTGGCGTTAGAGAGCGGCCTTATGTGCATTTTTCCCCCTGCATGTATGTCTGTGTGAGAGTATCCGATCTTGGAATTACAGATAGTTGTGAGCTGCCGTGTGGGTGCAGGGAATTGAACCTGGGTCCTCTAGGAGAACAATCAGTGCTCTTAGCCAGTGTCAATCTCTCTAGCCCTAGCCATACACATTTTACTCCTCTTGGGAGTAAGTGACTCTATAACTTCCTTTTTCCCTCTCTCCTCTCCCCTCTTCCTATCTCTTTCTTCATTTGAAGGGTCCTACAGTATAGTCCACATTGGTTTCAAATTTGAGATCTCTGTGACTTCACCTCTGGAGTATTGGGTGTACAGGTGTCCCTTACCACACTCAGATCAATTTGCTTCCTTAATAAGGGTGGGAATGGGATCGGGTAGGGAAGGCGCTCTGGTGTTCGCAGGGCTAGCCAAGCATGGTGCTGCAGGTGGTCACCCTCTGCTGATCTTTCTTTTCCACTGACCTCTCCTTAGGCCTGTTTCCTTGGCTTTGAAATCGCCATGAAGATCCTTAATTGGATTGCCCCCAGCTTGTGAGGCTGAGCACCGTTGAAGACTTCTGGATGCTGGACAGCTGTTGCTGAGAAGCAGTGGGCAGGACTAGGTAGTCCTGAAGGGTGAGGGGAGGGAAATGGTGGAATCAGAGCTCTGGGCATGGCTATGATGGTGAAATTGTTGCCTTAAAGACATCCTCTACCTTGTAAAACTTGGTGTGCCATTTTGAAACTTGAATTTAGAAGATTTCCAAAGAATTGGAGGTGGAATAACTAGTCTATAGACTTAACTACCTTTGGCCAAATTGCCACCTACTGGTTGACTGATGGCCCCACTACACTCAAAATATTCCTCACTGTAGAGTTGATGGCTAACTCTGGAGGCCCCTTGCCTGTTATCAATCAGCTAAATCAGAAGCTGGGATCTTCAGGCGCTAGCCAGGAAAACCCGTCAGATTTCTGTGGTGCCATTTATACTCCTGGGCTGCACATAGAGATGTGGAATAAAGCCCACGTCTGTCTCCCAGATGGCCTAGGTGGATATACCTAAGAGCAGACCACCTATTAACTGCTGTTTGATATTTTTACACAAGAAATAATAAAAATACATAAATAAGAATTGTCTAAATTCCCAGGGGAAGGTGGAGAATTTCCCCTCCTACTCAGTGAAGACAGCCCCAGCCTCCTGGGTAAGTGAAAGCCATAATGTAGGAAGGCTCTTTTTGCACATTCTTTCCCCCTCAGAGCACCTAATTTTAACAGGAAACAATAAATATTGTTTCTAATTTTTGCATTCTGTGATATTTTCTCTTGTGACACAGGGACAGTGCGGCAGGATTGGTTGTGCCTTTGGAGGCTGCCGGGAATCAGAGTCTGTTTCTGGGAGCCATAGGCTGGGCCTCTAGCAGGCAAGGAGGAAGTTTTGGCTGCCTGGACTTCTCTGGTTCCCTTGATATTCCAGGAAAGATGGGTGGGCTGGGAGGCTTCATTGGTTCATATATAGTCTGGCAGGCAGGCAGGCAGGCCACCCCAAAACCTGGCTTGTAATCCATCCATTGATTCATTCTCCTTTCTCTCCTGAGCCACATAGCTCTCCAGGTTTATAGATGGAAAGTCAGTTGATCAAAAAAGACACAAGCAGTTCTGAGTTTGGGGGTGGCTGTGGGTCTGGCACTTGCTGTGTAATCTGATGTAGCTAGAGGGAGGTTGGAACCAGGATCCCTAAGCTGCTTGGTCCTTGTTTTAGTGGATGAGGAACAGGGAGCCCTAAGCTTGGTTCTGGTCTTAGTGGATGGGAGAGCTTGCTGAAAGGAACCTGGCTTTTCCAACATTGTCCTGCTTGGCCAGAAGTTAGTTTTACTGTCACTTCCTGTCTTGCCAGAGTCTGAAGAGATCCTTGGGACTTTGGTTTTAGAACTATCACTCTGAGCATGAGAAGGGCAGACATACCTCACTTAGGGGTTAGGGGTGCAAACCTAACTTTGCAGGAAGCTGAAGATGAGAGTTCAAGGAAGGGAGCTGTGCTCGAAGGAGACTTGTGAATAATGAGATGAGAATTATGGCCAAGCAGAGGTGCCAGTGAGGTGGCTCAGAGGGTGACTTATTTGTTTGTTTGAGGCCAGGTCTTCTGTATTCCAGCCTGAGGAGGATGACCTTAAACTTCTGATTCTTCTGCCTTCCCTTACAAGTACTGAGATTACAAGTGTGATCACCACAGTCAGTTTATGGGTGCTAGGGACCAAACCCAGGGCTTTTTGCATGCTAGGCAAGCACTTTACCATCTTTGCTATATCCTCAGGCAAAAATAAAGTTTTCATTTTTTAAAAGAAATCTTTTTGAAAGATTTTTAATTGTGTGTGTGTGTGTGTGTGTGTGTGTGTGTCTGTGAACATGAGTGCTGGTGCTCGAGGAAACAGAGGCATCAGATCCCTTGGAGCTGGAGCTACAGCTGCCTGGGAATCAAACTCAGGTTCTCCCGGAAGAGCAGCAAGTGCTCCTACCTGATAAGCCATCTCTTCAGTCTTACCCCCATTTTGTTTTTTGTTTTTGTTTTGTTTTGTTTTCTTTTCTTTTAGAGACAGGGTTTCTCTGTGTAGCTTTGGAGCCTGTCTTGGAACTTGCTGTGTAGATCAGGCTGGCCTAAAATGGAGATCTACCTGCTTTTGTCTGCTGAGTGCTAGGATTAAAGGCATGTGCCACCATTGTCCAGCCTGTGTTTTGTTTTTTTTTTGAAACAGGGTGTCTGTCTTGTAACTTATGCTGATATCAAACTCATTATGTAGCTGAGGATAACCTTGAATTCCTGGTCCCCCTAAATGCTGGAGAGATATATATATATATATATATATATATATATATATATATATATATATATCATACCTGGCTAGAAAAAGAATTTGTATGTATTCAAAAGTGCATGTAACTGATCATTTTTACGTGTGTGGTATATGCAACAGAGAGTGTGTGTGATTGTGTGTGCATGCGTGTGTGCACATAAACAGGCACTATGTGCAAGTGCTGAGGCCAAAGGAGGAAGTTGAGTGTTCTGCTTTGAGGCAGTCTCTTACTGAACTGGAGCTAGGGTAAGGGTCAGCCCTAGAATCTCCCTCTCCCCACCCCCTCACACTGCTGGGTTACACATACACACGTGATCATGCCCAGGTTTTTACTTGGGTTCTGGTAATCTGGTAATCTGAATTCAGATCCTCGTGCTTGTACAGCAAATGCTATTACTTGCTGAGACATTTCTCCAGTCCTAAGTTACAAAAAGAAAAAAAATGGCAAAAATTGGGGGCCCTTTGCCAGAGAAGGTTAATTCAGTTTCAAGCCTACCTCTCCTGCTATCTTTAGTATCCCTTGACCAGGAATGGTCTGCCTTATTTTATTTTATTTCATTTTTAAGCAGAGTTATCAGCCAGGTGGCAGTGGCTCATGTCTTTATCCCAGCACTTTGAGGCAGAGGCAGGCAAATCTCTGTAGCCAGCCTGAGCTGCACAGTGAGTTCCAGTACAGCCAAGGCAACACAAAGAAACCCTGTTTCAAAACAAAAAAAAAAAAAAAAAAAACAAAGCAAAGTTACCATGAGTTTACTATGATGAAGGAAAGTCAGACTTTAGATTTTTAAGTGCAGATTTGAGAGGAGAAACACTTTAGACAAGGAGAGCAACAGCCAGGGCATGGGTGCAGGCTTCTGTCTGGAAACCTCATCCCTAGACTGGAAGCTCTGAGTATTTGCGTTTCAGCCAAAATGCCAGCCATTCTCATAGTGTAGGATCATATTCCTTTGCAGATACTTCCCATTTGAAAATGAAGTGTTTTGCTTCCTTGATGTTCATGGCGGGGGAGATTATTTTATCCCTTTGCACTTTAGGGGATGTGAAGTCAAACAGGGAAGCCCCTGGAGGCATGTTTATGAAGGGAACAGAGCAGATGGCAAGTGACGCCCTCCCAGCCAGGGCTCACTTTTATGATGTACTTTGAAATGCCACCTGTTCCATATATATCTCTCTTGACAGGAGTGTGAGGGATGGAGTGGGGGTGGGGAATTTGGGACCTCCCCAATGATTTCTCTGTCTGTCAAGTGGAGGTCAGTGATTGATCAGGGATAGTGGCTTGAATCAGAAATTTTTAAAAAGTCATAATGACGAGGCTAAGGGTGAGGGACAGGGCAGGTTGCTGTAACAAGTTCACAAGCACTTAGTACTGTTTTCTGATACAAAGATGCATCTTCCCTCACTACAGGCTTTTGAGACTAGAAGTACAACCCAAACCCTATCCCCCAAACACATAGACTTGTTTCTTTCTTTGCATCCATCCCATTACGTAACCCAGGCTGGCCTTAAACTTGCTATGTAGCCCAACCTCGAGAGCTGGGATTACAGGCATGTACCGCTGTACAAAGTTCTCCTCTACCTTTGTCTTCTTTGTACCCTCTCATGCCCACCTTTCCCTCCTTCATCAATTTTAGGGTAGGACAGGGCCCCTTATTTCAGCTAACCAGGAGGCTGAGGCAAAAGGATCTCACGTTGAAGGCCAGCCGTGATGCAAAGAGAATTCAAGGCCACCCTGGGCAACTTTGTGAGAATACGTAGAAATAAAAACACAAAGGTCTGGAGCTGTACGTAGCACAGCAGTGCTTAAGAGATGTGTGAGCCCTAGCTTCAGTTCCCTGCTTTTTAGAAAAGAAAAGCAATGCTAGTGATTAGATTACATGTTCTGTCAGTGAACCACACCTCCCCTCCCCCAGTTTCCCAGTTCCATCCTCAGAGAACTCAATAATTACACATATTTTTTTACACTTCATTTTCAGATGTAGAAAGCTCAGCCAGGTGAGAATGATCTACAAAGACCATTGGCGAGCTGGTAATAGAGTAGGGACCCTGTGTCTAGGTGGCCTGAAGAAACTCTTGTGATGTTATCACAAGTCCAGGGGCTAACTTGACCCAGTTTGTGGGAGGCCTGACTGTATTTCTGGGTCAAGGTCCAAGTACCTGGCCTGTGAGTCAGGCCAGTGTCAAGTACAGTCCTGATTGTTGTTGAAAAGGCCCCAGGGCCTGCTGCTCCCTGAGGGCTCCGTTTTCTGCTTTCTCTGCTTCTTTGTTATGCTTCCCAGTGTTTTTCCTTGCCCTAAGGTATCTCGAAAGCAGACCAATGGTCTACTGCAGACACTGACACTTTCTTGGGACACAGTGTCCCAGCAAAAAAGGGGTTGTTGGCTCACAGGTACAGAAACAGGTGGCCTGGGAATTAACTGCTCCCTGGAGCATAGATGTTTGTTAAAATAGATCAGACCTCCTAGATCAAAGAGTGTGGCCTCTTGGAGGAGGCATAATGTAGACTAAAGGACAGATGGGTGCCAGCAAAGGAAAGTTCCCCAGTATCTCCTGCTAATCAGGCTCATGAGAAAGCTGGTAGTAAGTGACCTGAGGGTCTGCGTACAGGTGTGTGCAGATAAGCAGCAGGTTCCAGGGACCTGGAGGGCAGGGACCCGGGATCTTAAAGAAGCTGAGCTGGGGATGTGGCACACTTAAGAGTGTTGTCAAGTATGCCCCAGGCCCTTGGTTCAATCCTCATCACTGAATAAATTGAGCATGGCCGCAGGCCTGTAATCTTTACAGAGGAGGCAGGGGAACCAAGAGTTTAAGGTCGTCAAATGGCCTCTTGGTCAGGTGAGTAGGTTGTGTTTCCACTGGGGTTGAGTTCTCTTAGTAGGTAAAGGGAATGAGGTAAGTAAGCTGAGACCCAGGCCAAGGGCAAGACTTGAAGGAATATTAGCTTATCCCTCCTTTGGGGAGGGGAATGGTTTTAAGAAATAAACCTATTAGGAGTATAGGAAATTCACTATTTTATTAGAAAGAGCAGTTGGTACTCTGCCTGAGTTTGCGTTCACCAAGCCCCTTCCTACTGTTGGGCTAAACAGCTTGTGTCCTACTTGTGCAAACTCTGCATAGGCAATTGTAAACGCCTCTGAGAATTAGCCTCATTGTATTCGCATTCGTGTCTGTGGCTGGTGGTGTGGTCTGTTTATCTGAGGGGTTGTGGGGGAAGACAGCATAGGATGAGGGTTCTCATCCACTGGATTGCTCTTCTGAAGGTC